GCAGGAGAAAGGGGAGAACAGATGTTAGCACCCCCAAAATGCTGAGTCCTTGGCTGGAGGTGGGCTGGGCCAGCATCTCCTGCCCTGGAGAGCAACTTTGAACTAGCTCTGGGAACTAAAAAGCTGACATCTTTGCTACAGGAGCAGCCTTTTATCAGCAGCAGCGGAGACAAGGGCTCTCATCCTACCTTCTCTTACCAGCAGCCTCTAAAGGGGGTTTGTAGGATGTTGTGGACTTGAGGAGCAGAGCTACCCTTCCAGGTTCCGTTCCTATATAGGCTTTGTCTCCTCCCACGCTGCTCCCTATGTGTCCAGCCGTGGGCTCCCTGCTGGCCGCCCCATTGCCCCAGCACAGCAGACCCCCCCCCCGCTTACCGAGGAAATCGTCGGCCGAGAAGTGGTCAGCATCCCAGACCTGCAGGGTGAGGCGAGCTGGGATCTTGTACTCGGTCTCATCCCAGGAGAACATGGACTCCTTCTTGGAGATGACGATTTTCTCCTCCGCCATCAGGTAGTCAAAGGGGAAGATGTAGCGCCAGTTGAAGTTGCCTTCACCAGTGAGTGAGTGGTAATGGACGTCCGTGTCTTGCTTGTCCTCCTGCTGACCCTTCAGCCACCTGCAGGGCCCAGAGGGATGAGAGGGGTGGCACACGTTACAGGAGGGAGGAGAGGGCACAGGACCATCCTGTGCGTGCAGCCAGGACGCCTCCAGGCCAGCAATGCGTGGGCAGACTGGAAGGACCTAAAAGGCATGAGCAATGGGCTGGGGCTGCTTGAATCACCACAGCAGTGTCTCCAAGGGGCACAACAGGCATGGGGACAGGACAGACCTGGGGGGAACGGGGGGGTCGGAGAGCAAGAAATGCAAGCAGGTTGTTAGGGGTCTTTCTCTGGGCAGGGAGATGTTAAAGAGGTGGACAGGAGCAAGGAGCATTGCTGGGGAGTCTGGAGCAGAGCATGCTGGAAGGCTGTCCCCATCCCGCACTGGTGGAGTGGACAGGCCCAGGGGAGGCTGTAGAGACCTTCTCACTCGTGGACGCAGGTCGGTCTGTACTGGTCACCGCAGGCTCCCTGTGCCAGGGCACATCTATCTGAGCCCATCAGAGGTATTTAGGGCCTGCTGCAGGCTCTGCTTGAGGGTGGGGATATCTCTGCTGACCCAGTCTCCAGCGAAGGGACCTGAAGTGCCCAGCTCAGATAGGCACCGTGGGCACCGTGTCGCTGGAGACAGTGGGGTCCCAGTCATGCCACCCTGGGAGACGGGGTGGCCATGCCGACCTTGCCATCGCATGTGCTTGTTCCCCTAATTTTCTGGCTCCAGTGAGCAGGATTCCCAGAGCAAAAGGGACATGGAGGATGGTCCACACCAGCAAGTCTGGGACCCGGGGGAACACAGCTTTGTTTCTCAGTGCTCCTCAGCCCCTTTCTCTGACGAGCCAAGGCACCTCCGTTCCCCAGGGTGCTCTCAGGTTTTTGCGCGTCTGTTTGTCCTGAGAGGCTGCAGCCAGCAGGGACACGTCTCCATGCACAGGCACCCAATGCAGGGGTGTCCTCTCGGGCTCTGAGCATGCCGATGCCCTGCTCTGCCCCACAAAACACAAAGGTCAAGTGATTCCCCCACCACACTGATGGGGAAGGGCTGGAGCACCCCAGATTCAGAGCCATTGCAGAAAAGCCGCTGGGCTGATGGGACCCGAGATGCCAAAACAGACCCAGTTTTCTGAGAGCGGCACGAGGTGCAAGCAGAGGAGACCTGGCCTGAGCTGGCGAGGCTGCAGAGGAAGCACCGAGCAGTTTAACAGACTGGTGGGAAACCACTGCGTATTCAGCCACCAGCCTGAAATGTCGTTGCATTGATTTGAGGTCCTGTAAAGAACTGGGCTGTGAGCAGGTGTGGGTCCCCTCATCTCTGTACGGGCGAGTTTTGGAAGGGGCTTTCCCCTACTGCTGGGTGAGAGTGAAGCGGAGATGGGAACTAACCACAATTTGGCTCCAGGTGCTGGAGCTGGAGGTTGCAGGGCTGACATGCCAAGTGGGGGCATCAAGACAAGCTCAAAGAGGGGAAGAGGGGCAGACGCGGCCAAGCAGCGAGGCCTCGGCCATTACCCCCTGACACAGACATCAGACATCTTCTCTCCCGCCAGGAAAGCATCATCTTCCAAAACCACCCCATCGGTGTTCCAGAAGGTAACCCGCAGCTCAAAGCTGGGCGGGCAGGCCAGGCACATGCAGCGGGTCATGCAGCCAAGAGAGAGAGACAGAGAGGCAAGAAACAGCACAGAAGACAACGGCAGCATTGGCGCTACCTGACCCTGCACCACAGTCCATGTCGTACACCCCCCCCCAACTCCAAAACCACCCCGGGGAGCCCAGCGAGCACTAGCACCCCCCAGGGAGAAGCAGAGGAGGTGGTGCTGGCATGCCACGCTGTACCTACCCCCTGACAAAAATGTCACTGGATTTCTCGCCGGTGAAGTAGTCATCGTCCTCCAGGATGACCTCGTCTGTGTTCCACACTATCACTCTAAGCTCATACCTGGCAGGAGGAAGGGAGACAAGGAGGTGAGGCATGGGGGCGGGCAAAGGGGCAGGAGGGAATGGGGTGACACTGCCAGAAACCAGGGCCAGGCACCCCCACCGCAGGGAACTGCTCGCAGGAATCTTATCTGAGGGATCATGAGGGCAGGAACCGGGGGGGGGATCTGTGCATGAGCTCAGGTCAGCCCAGGCAGGGTGAGCAGAGCAGCAAGGGCAGCTTTACCTCCCTCTGCTCTGAACCTCTGTGAGGCCCAAGCCAAAGGCTCGAGGGGACAGCCCAGGCTTGGCCTTTGGTAGATTTGTGGCTAAAATGGGGTCTGCGAAACAGTCTGAGTCCAGCTCTCTTCCTGGTTTCCCCACCTTACGCAGCAGGGCTGTCACCCCTTAGAAATGAGGGGGATTTGTCGCTGCCTTCAGAAGTGAACCCTGCTCCCCTGTCCAGGGCAGTCCCCCGGGCACCACAGTCCTTCTTAGGACTCCAGCAGGTTCAGAGACTCTGAGATATTCCCAGCACTGCCTTTTGTGTGCAGCAACCCGGGGTTGCCCAGTCACATTCGGCTTGGCTGGGTGTTTTGGTGATGGAGAAAGCAGCTGCGGTGGGAGCAGGCGGAGGAAGAGCAGAAGCCAGATTCCTTGCAACGTGGAAAGGCTGGAGGAAGGCTGGGGGACAGTGGCAGAGAAACGCAGCCGCAAGCGTAACACATCGCTAGAAGTACCAGGGGGTCCTACAGGTGAGGGGAAGGGGACTTAGAATCATAGAATCATAGAATCATTACGGTTGGAAGAGACCTCCAAGATCATCGAGTCCAACCGTCAACCCAACACCCCCATGCCCACTAAACCATGTCCCTCAGCGCCTCATCTACCCGTCTTTTAAATACCTCCAGGGATGGGGACTCAACCACTTCCCTGGGCAGCCTGGTCCAAGGTTTAACCACTCTTTCAGTAAAGACATTTTTCCTCACATCCAATCTAAACCTCCCCTGGCGCAACTTGAGGCCGTTTCCTCTCGTCCTTTCGCCAGTTACTTGGGAGAAGAGACCGACCCCCACCTCGCTACAGCCTCCTTTCAGGTGGTTGTAGAGAGCGATGAGGTCTCCCCTCAGCCTCCTTTTCTCCAGGCTGAACAACCCCAGCTCCCTCAGCCGCTCCTCATCAGACTTGTTCTCCAGACCCCTCACCAGCCTCGTTGCCCTTCTCTGGACACGCTCCAGCACCTCGACGTCCTTCTTGGAGTGAGGGGCCCAAAACTGAACACAGGGTTCGAGGTGCGGCCTCACCAGTGCCGAGTACAGGGGCACGATCACTGCCCTGCTCCTGCTGGCCACACTAGTTCTGATACAGGCCAGGATGCCCTTGGCCTTCTTGGCCGCCTGGGCACACTGCCGGCTCATGTTCAGCCGGCTGTCGACCAGCACCCCCAGGTCCTTTTCCGCCAGGCAGCTTTCCAGCCACTCTTCCCCAAGCCTGTAGCGCTGCACGGGGTTGTTGTGGCCAAAGTGCAGGACTTACAGCTTCCTTAACCCACCTCCTCGGTATCTCCCTCTGACAATGCCCTGGCTGAGCCCAGCTGTGGGACTCCTGCCATCTCCTCCAGTTCCAGCCCCCTCCTGTCTGCTCCCATGGGTGGGAGCCTGTCCCATGCTGTGCCTCTCCAGTACCTACAGCTAGTGTCAGGTGGGGCCAGGTGCTCCCAGCAAAGGGGAGATGGATTAAACCCTTAGGACGATAACCAGGCGTAACCTTGCTCGAAACAGGCTATCATCTACCTGCAAACCCTCTCTTCAGCCCATCAATAGCAACATCTCCGCTCCAGCTCATGGGTCACTGCTGAGCATGGCTGTCCTGGGCTGCACTGTAGACAACCCTCTGCTTTTCCAGTCTGCGCTGGTGTCCGGACCTCGCCCTTGGCCTCAGCTTTCCTGCGGCTGCCTGCCCTGCTGTTCAGACCCCATCTGCAGCCCACTGGGATCAAGGGACGTTCTCTCCATCCAAGGTGTCATCTGCTGGGCACGGGAGCGCAAGAGACTCCCACCGGGATGCCCAGTGCTGTTCCCGTATCCCGGCCCTGGGGGTGGGAAAAGGGGCCCAAGGACAGAGTCTAGCAGGGTAAGGCAGGGCTAGGAGGGATGCCGAGGGGAGAAATGCCTTTCTTCTCTCTAAATAAGTTGGGAGAGGGCAGGGTGAGGAGGGAAGAACTCTTTATTACACTGCCTGTTGCCTGCTCTGTCCTGCTTTGATTGACCGACTGTGTCCCAGTAACCTTCCCTGCCCCGGGCTCCAGCCATCACCTCCTGGAAAGGGTCCATCCAAACTGCCCAGGGATGCCTTGCCCTGGGCTAACCCTGCCCCTGCCTGGGAGGGGGTCAGGGCTGGGCGCACTGGTCTGCCCTGGCCCTGTGCCGGGGACGGGGCAACAATTTAATTTCCTAGTCTACACAGACAAGAGAGATCGGGAGCTGCAGGGGATGGAACAGGCGGGATACCACCCTTCTGAAGCAGCTCTGGAAGGGGAAGGCATCGCTCGATGCCTCCAGTCTTGGGATCTCTGGAAGTGCCAGCATGGTTGAGGTACCCAGGCAGAGGGCCGGGCTGGGCCATGGAGCAGCAGCAGGAGAGGGGAGAAGCAGGGCTCCATCCCCAGCCTTGAGTTTTCCCTGGGGTTGGCTGGCTGGGAGGTTCCTTACTTCTTTGGTTTCCTGGGGGAAATATCAGTGGCAGGGGAAGGGG